ACTCTGAGAATACTTGTGTGGTCTCCATACAGTACAGGTTTACACCTAACCCATCTGTTATCCACTTAACTGGAATTATTTTCCCACATAATACCAGTTGGCTTGAAAGTATGAGGTGCACATCAGTAATGCATCCCATTGCCCTGCTGTCCATCTGATGGATGCAACTCTGAGCCTGTACCAGAGCTAAGAGCTTATATAGAATAACTAAGTCAGTTTGTTTTAGAACAGCTTGAAAGCATAATTTGGTTACATCCCAGCCCTCTGAACAGAAGAGCTCTTATAACGCAGAAACGTGCTTTCTCCCTGAAAGTAGTTCTGACGCCAGTCAGCATTTCCAGACCAGCCATTTCCAGCAGACATCTTACTGACAGATTATTTGTAACACAGGCTCTTTGGACTGTGATCATAAAAAAGTAGGTTTTGATCAGTTAAAAAAAAAAAAGGCAGCATGAATTCCAGCACTGATTCATCACAGCTGAGCTTAAAGGCTCACTCTTCAAAAATCTTTATAACAAGAATCCATTTATGACTAAATGGAAAATCATTTAAGTATCAGCTTCCAAATCCCAGGGGATGCCTATTCCTACCTGCCTGCACAGACCAGCAGCTCAGACAAGTCTCTGCAGCCCAGGCACTAAGAAGCCAACACTCCACTTTGTGCTGCAAGAGTTCAGCAGAACAATTAACGCCTTTTACCAACAAAGAGACTTCACCCACCTACTGTCCTCAGTATCATGAAGCTAGGGTCACAGGCTCAGGAAAGTAATCTTTCACTGTTTTAAAACTGACTAGAGGAAAAAAAAAATCGGTGTAGTTCAGGTTTAGAGAGTTTCTAGTTTGATGTTTAACACAATGTTTTATCCTCCTTGTCATTTAAGTACTCCTCATATACAGACCAGATACTGCATCACTGAAGTCTAAAGTTTCATTACTGGCTTCATTCACAGCAGATTTGAGGACCTGCTCATTTCTTTTAATGAGATTTAAATACAGCTAGAAGAATAAGGATACATTTTTGTTTGAAAAGACTAATTAAATAACTTTGTTTCAAACCTTGTGGAAAAAGTTATCTAGAACTGTCTGTAGGGAATACATATTTATATTTATATCAATGGAGATCACAGGGATGGGATAATTATTCACTTCTCTTAAATCCACCAGGAACCACATCGCCTTAGAAACCTGGGGGGTATGTGGGTCCATTTGTCACCTCCGAGTAAAGGCCAAGACATCCTTATTTATCTATAATTTAAATATTTCAGCACAGGATTTTCACCCTTGAGTTTCAACAAACTGAGTTACACTTGACAAAATATTCCAGCATTTTTCCTCTTGGAAGTAACAGTAAGATATTGCCACCACTGCAGCTGGCAGCATGCAGCTCTCAAACAGGATAGCAGAACAGTTGCTAACATCAAATTTGAAAAGCAACGATTTTCTTCCCCATCTATGACGATTATCCTCATTCCTCTGCCCTTTCCAAAATGATCCAAGCCTCTAGCAACACATTCTTCCACAACCCAAGAGAAAACAAATGGACATGCTTTCTCAATTTACAGATAATAGTACCATGGCATTTTCATTCCTGGGGTAGAAGAAATGGGAGAGATGTCTCAGACCCCAGCAGCAAGGAATGCACATACTAAATAGGTACCAGAAACACATGAAGAGCCCAGTGCTGAGTTTTCAGCTAGTGCTGGAATAATATAACCCCCAAATGACACCAGACATCTGGAACTTGTCTGTAGTGACAAACTCTTTTCAGACTTAGACAAAATCAAATAAGGAAAAAAAAAATTAAAAAAAAAGCTCTAGAGACAATAGACTTTGCATTACTGAGAATAAAGTAATTTCATCCCCACAGACTAGTTTCAAGTCATGTTTTCCAACCATCTACTGAAAAGGCCATGTGGCTGCACTGTGGGTTCCAAACCAAAACATCTCAGAGCTTTAAGGTGCGCTACACTGGATCCTGAAATTCATTTTTGATTCACACTGAAGATCTTTTTATAGGCTAGCTTCAAGGGGTAATTTTGGAAAGCTCTTCACTGAAGTAGGAAAGCAAAAGGTCATCTATACAAGGGATTTTAAACATTTCACCATAAACATAAAAGTTTTGGCAATTTTTGAGAGGGGATCAAATGTTAGTTAGCACACTGAACTCAATCCAAGGAAATAGCAACTGCAAATCTTGGTGACTGATACCACTTCAAAGCCAAGCATCCTTTGATGCAGAGGAGAACATTCTTCCTGAGGGAGTAAGGGGAAAATTACAAACATAAAATAGCAAAACCCTACACCAACAACCGAGGTGACATTCCAAAGTACTGGGAGGCTCTGCGTGCAGGTGTCAAACAGAACAACCCACCCCCATTTTAGCACTTGAAATGTCAATTCAAAATTCCCAAGTAAAGTCTACAGCAATATGCAGTACCCCTCAGACATAGCAATGAGCCCCTGGCCTGGGAAACACCGAGAGCAAGAGCTAGGCCTAAAAATACGAGGGCAAACTTGGCATTTCTGAAGGCTCTGAGGAAGGAGAACTGCACTGGAGTACATGTCCAGTTCAAAGAACAACACTGGATCAAAGCTACTCAACTCATGATCTTTAAAATAAATAACAAATATAGCAAGACAAATATAGTCAGGATGAACTGTGGAAGCATTCACCATCCCGCAGAGGGATGCTGCTTCTGCCTGTGCTTCCTCCTGCTTCTGCTGATCTAAACACAAAGTGGTGGAAGACCCATTGTTCCATTTCAATGTCAAAAACATTACACTGAAGAATTAAGAATTCAGTAGATAGTACTTGGAAAGAACTTTTTAGACAGTATTTAAAGAAAATAAAATCTATAAAGCTCCACTGAGAACATGAGAACAGAAAAACAAAGGAGTATTTTAATCTACATTTTCGCACATTTAACATTTCTCTAAAATGCCGAAATTTTAAAATGAGAATCACGTCCCTGTCTGGATTTACTGCATCAGAAACGTGGTTTAAGCTCAGTCATTCTGTGCATAGAAGGGACTGCCACAAAACTGAACAGGTCTGTGAATATTCGATATTGTCTAGACCAGAAATTCTTTGTCCCAACACACTATACTCAACGTATATTTAAGTGAGAATAAAATGTGACAAAGCCAGAACAATAGATTTGAGTGAAGGTCTATTCAGGAGATTATCTGCTTTTCCTCCTGACACATCTTAGACTAACACACCAGGAAACAGAGCACTGAACTCAACTCCTTCCAAGCTCACCTAAAGGACAAAAAAAAAAAAAAAAATCAGAGTTCTTTGAAGTCAGGTATTTTCTGCTTTCAGACAAACATGGTTTTCACAAGAAATCCTTCTAGGTTAGAGCAGATTCCACAAAGCTTTAAATTTCTCTCTGAGTGAGCTTCTGAACCGTCATTGCTGGTTATTACTAGTAGGCACAGAAATTCCCATTTTAATTAGAAACTTTATTTTGAAATAGATTACAGAGTTTGCATGTGAAGTGCTTTCAATATAAGATATTTCATAACATTGTGCTGAGCAAAACGGCTGACCAATTTCCTTGAAGCTCTTCCATTTATGTTTTTTTTTTTCATTAAAACTATCCTACAGAACTAAGATGCAACTTAGGCATTTGTATTCAGAAGCTAATTACTATGTTTACCTTAGGAAGAAAGTTAACGCTAATTAACTGTGTGTTTCAATAATGATGTTAAGCATTTGGCATAAGACTGAAAGAAACTTGACTCCCAATTAAAACTGAATTCACCACAGACTTTAAAAAAAAAAAATTCTTCCTGATCAAACTACTTTGTTAATAAGGCACAGTCAGGCAAATATTTATAAAGACTGTCTACCAATTCAGTTGTACCTGTACAGCCTTCTTGCTGGTCTGTCAAAAGTAATCCGAAGGTTGTTTTCCTTGTCTGCTGCTGAGACGTTTCAAGAACAAGGCAGAGCAATAAGGCAACTAAAAGAACAGGCGTGCAAAGGAGTTTGGCATTTGGGAGGGATTCTGAACATTTTCAAAGTAGTTCATTTTATAAATGGAGCATTCACCTGTTATTATTAAAATGGTGGCCAACTCTGATAAGGAAAAAAGAAGTGGTGCAAGCAGAGGGTATTTTAATAGGAATAAACAGGATGTCTGGTACGCTTTCAGCTAGGACCTCACATGCAGCAATTCCCACAACTTTCAGAGATAATCTAAATTGAATTCTGAAATTCCCTTCTGCCACTCAAAAAAGCTGAATGTACCAGGAGGTTTCTTGACAGCAGGTGAATAATCAGGGAATGAAATCTCCATTTAGATAATGAGCCAATACTGCATCCTACTTTGCATTTCTTATTAGAGCAAAAGGAAGTCTTCAGGAATGACAACTGAAATAATTACATCTTTTTTTTTGGCTGGAAGAAAGTTCAAGAATCCTTAAGTTGTGAAAATGTTTAAAAAATATGAAACAATTTCTATCCACAGTCAAAGAATTAAAAATAAAAACAAAAGATAAAAAGTAAAGCCTGACCTTTCTCTCCCAAATAATCTTTGCAGAATAACTGCTTAAGCTTAGCACTGTATGGCTTCTGTGGCCTAAGAATGCCAGATAGATACTCTAAGAATTATCATTTTCAAGCTACTGTTTGTTTTCAATTTTAAGTAATTTCAAACAAAAATACCACATCTATTTCACTTCAGTAATCAAACTGACCATAAAAATCATTAAAAGTATTTCTGATACAAATTTGTATCACATACTAAAAGATATTACTATATAGATAATTGTGAAATAAAAATAAGACCATACAAAAAGTTTTTCAAATTCTTTTCCTGAACTCATAGTACAGGTTTAAGATTAAAAAAAAAAAATCTGTAAATGAAGTAGTCAACAAATGTTGAATACAAAATACATTCTAAAGTATTTTACAGAATGGTTGAATTATCAAGCACAAGAACCGAGGATAAAGAATGTTAGTGACAAGCAGCCACATACAGAACACAAAGCAATAAGTTTAAATCAGACTATTTTGGTTTGTGTAGCCCTTTATTAGCAACTAAAATAGAAGATATCTGTTGTACATCACGGGTAGTAACTGACTATACTGGAGTTTTATTATAGTCTAATACAGGATAATTTATAAATGCGTTGTTTTCCTTTTTTTTTTTCTTTTATTAAAAAGCTTCCACCCCCTTTTTCCGTTTACAACTTGCAAAACTATTCTGAAAGCAGAGTATATGTGCACAGGTCTGCAAAGAGTGCAAATTTAGGATATGGTAAATGCTTTACATGTTGTATTTATAAGGACAGTCTACCACCATGCCTTCATAGCCATTATCTCTTCCCACCACCAAAAAAAAAAAAAAAAAAAAAAAAAGAGGCAAAAAAACCCCAGCACAAAAAGTTTTGATACCAGCCTTCCTTCCATTGTCCTAAACAAGAAAGCATTTTTAAATGAGTTGAAACTAAGGAAGGACTACACCTACTAGAAAAGAACAGAGTTCTATTAGTTTGAGGTTTCAGTATACCCAAAGACCAGGGACTGTATCTTTGTAAGGGCTAGGCTGGGACCCCGTATACAGAGTGTGTGCAGGTGCCATCCCTGAGCATTCAGCGGTTCAGTGGACCATAAGTGCTCCAGCTGCATAACTCACTGAGCTGTCTTGCCAGTTTCGACACTGGCTTGACTGAGCGTAATTCAAAAATGAAAAGCTCATATTCATTCCATTCTTCTGGAGCTCGTTGATAGCCTAAAGAGAGGGGAAAAAAAAAAAGGGAGGGGGCCATTTAGAAAAGGTAGCAGTGAAATTACAACATTTTCTAGTTCTCAGTCTTTTTCACCTCCCCTGAAGGTCCTCATAAGCTCATAATACAAGCACCTCCCCTTAATTTGTGAACTTAACCCATTTCTGCGCATTTTTGTTCACTGATGCTCCCCCCGCTGCATTATGTACATCCATGCAGTTCTTTGAAAGAATACTAAACAACCTTTCATAATAGATCCTTTAGAAACAATGCTTTCAGTTCCATGGGGAGTTGATACAGAGATGTAACAGAGAAAACCCCAATGCTATTAACACTTTTTAGATTGTGCTTCTTCCATTAATGAAAAATAATGTACAAGGATAACTTATTACACTGTGACAATTGTCAAAAGTGAATAAACAGAATTTAGCTCTGATTCACTGCAAAACTAATCATTATCTGAAGGTAAGAGTTGGGTATACTTGCAGAGTTGTCATAGTACTGAATTTTGCATCCCCAATATTGATATTGCTCACACAAGCTTTTATGGACTCCACTTTAAAAAGGTTCCTCTGTATGTTCTCCACACAGACTACATTCCCAGTGAATTTTAAAAACTTAACCTGCTTCCTGCTTTAGATTTGATTTAGAGTAAAAATAAGTGAGATTCAATCAGCAATATGACAAATCTGCAGCACTCCAGCAGTGCTGTAAAGCAGCTGTGGACCAAATTTAGAAAACTAAGTTAAGCCAGGTTTATGTCTGCACTGCATCACCAAAGCAGAATATGGTAACTAGAAAGTACCAGTTAATCTGAATTCTAATTGCTGTTAATTTATGAGTTAATGGTGCACTGCACTAATACTTACAGAGGCAATCTCTCACCATATTTGCAAAAGTCAAAAACGCTGCCAGACATCACAAGGCACTCACAATAGCTAGCTAATAGCAATACAGAAAAAATATACAGGTGTTTGTAAGTACCAGTTTGAAGAGTAAGTATGTACTTTTTCAGGGAGATGGATTTATTTGTTCTTTTTTTTAAGGCCAAGAGAAAGCAAATGATTGCATTTCATTTAAATTCAAAAGGAATGTGGTACCTCATCTCCCTTAGGGAACTGAAAACTCTCAGCCCTTTTAAGAGCTTACATCTGTCTATATGCAAGACACGGAAATTGGAGACCAAATTGAGAACACTTGGAAAAACAAATGAATTCAAGGTTTGTCATTTTAGAACTAAGGAATACTGCAGCAACACTGTATTTAAAACAAATGTAAGCATTTTTCTAGAAGTTACATTCTTCAACAAATCAAAAGATACTTACGTTTAATAACACTCCAATAGGATGTCTTCCACATATTGTATTATGGTATTTCTTCAAGTAATTGCTAAAAGATACAGGATCTAGCTGCTCTATAATGCTCATACCCTGAAAAAGAATCGTTAGCAATAATTACATAAGATACTCATAAGCAGGATGCTTATATATCACCTACTTATTACAACAGAACAGTTCAGGAGGAAAAACCCTTTACTTTGTACCAAGGATGTCAAAGAAACCTCAGCATGTGAGCTCTAGCTTGTAGTTATCTTGTTCCCATCCCTTCCCAAAATAAGAGTGCAGGAGCTCTTCCAAAGCTGTCCATGATCCACAGCTCTGTGAAGCTATCTTTGCAGATACCAGTGAAGCTCATGCTAAAAGAGCTCCTTCCGCAGACTAGCTGATCCCCACTCTCCAAGGGCATCCTTCCATACGATTTGGTACAGCTACAACCAGACAAGTTTACTAAAAAGGCAAAGCAGGAAGAAATCAGGCCTCCATCTCCTCTCCCTGGTAACAGAGCTCAGGGCCAACCACTTGCCTGGGACTCCTGCGGGCCCCAAAACCCTGGATAAACTATCAAAAGACACACATGCAATTCACATGGAGCAAGTGTAAGGTATCCTAGACGCATCAGGCATGCAAGGCAATTGTTCTGGGCATGGGCTGGCCATCTGCTCAGAACATAATGCAGATCCAGAACATCTCTAAAGCACTATGAAGTTGTTGCACCACAAAAATGTAAGAGCCAGGAGATGATGCTTCCACTTTACATGAGACAGTCACATATATGCATCCTTTTCTCCATCCACAGGGAGACCCATGATCCCATGGAATCATACTAAGAATATCAGCACATAAGAAAAAACACACTTCGCATGGGAACAATGGGAGGTTGATATCAGAGAGAGAGATAATTTCTCCTAAGATTTCTGCAATTGCCCCTGACCCTACTTTTGGGAAAATGTGGGTGATAAAAGAAGAAACCACAATGCATGAAGCAGTCAGTCTGAAGTCTCCACCTCAAGAGCGAAACCTTCCAAACACTCTGCAAGGGCGTTGGCTGATCTGGCAGATACACTAATTATTCAGACTGGATCACAGCTTACAATGGATGAACTGGAGATTCCCAGGAGACTCAGGGAGAATTACAAAACAGCAACCATAACCACCACCTTTGTGTACTTTTAAATAAAAACAGACGTAAGATGAATTCATAGAGAAATAAATTTTACGGAAAAATAAAACCAAATTATGCTGACCAATTGCTGGCAAGAGCTCAGTTCTTCCAGGGTCATGGAGAGGGTGTTTGGACCCTGGCTGGTAATTACAGCTGTTTATCACTTCAGATCTACAGAACCTAAGTGAGTGCCAAAAAACTAATAGTAGATATTGGCTAACTAGCAGTGACCACACAGATACCATTACATTCCCAGAATTTACAAAGCATGTCTTTGAACTACCTGTTTACTTGTAAATTGTACATGTCAATACATACGTTCTGCTAAAGAAAGCAGAACCAAACCTGACTACATACTCAAGTGAAACTAAACATGCATAAACTGTTCAGATACTGAACAGTTCATGAGAATAAATTTTATCTGTTTGTAAATCCTTTCACAACCTTTTAAAAAAATTAAAATGGCTGCTCAGTTGAGAGACTTGTTTTATAATTGTAAGTCACTGGAACATACTGGGCAAAGGCATTTGAGCATTTGTCTCAAATGAATGGACATGGATTTATGAGAATGCCTAGTAAGCCCATTTCAATGCACAGTTCAGCACTGCAAAACATTTAGAGCTATGCAGTTCATCCCAGAAAATGCTATCAGAGTTCCATACATCATAGACTGGAGAAAATGCATAGGAAATGGGTATTAACAAATATCCTATAAGCATTCAGTTGTACTGAACTTTTCAATCCTTTGGATTTAAAAAATTGTTGTGGCAGAGAAGCAAAGACTACCAAGCTCATTTCTCAGTCTAAAATGGTGTTGAGGAAGAAAGGAAACATTTTTGTCAGGTTGTGTTTTATTTTTCTAAAAAGCAGAATTATGAAGCTATTAATTTTCAGTATTTGTAACAACTCAGCCAGGCATGGTTTAGAACAATTAAAACACATGACAAAACCCACATGATAAAAACGCAAACACATTTCTGCAGTTTATCACATGGTTCTTATGGCATCACATAGAAATTCCATACCTCAGTTACTCACACACTGTTAATGGAATCTACAATATTGTAGCACAGTGCACTCAATATGATTAAAACCAGTTACATTTTTAAATATCATCCCTTAATAGGATCAAGCATCTACAAGCTTACAAAAATTACAAAAAAACCACCAAAACAAGCAAGCCAATACACGGAAAATCTCCACCAACCTGTAGGTTTATTTCACACTATACTCCACTAACCCTTTGGCTGGTTAAATTAAAGCTTGTTAACAGTCACTTCAGCTGCTTTTTCAGACTTAAAAATATAAACTAGTAGCCCTCTAATGGAGGTAGAAACAAACTTGGTCTTAGTACTATCCAGTCCAACTATCTTTGCATGTGTGAGTCACTCAGACTAGAAGACAACCAACCAACAGGAAAATTACTGGCTGGGCACAGCAGAGAGTACAAGGATCTGGGAACCTAGGCAGAGAGTCATTGTCTTCCATTATGCCCAGGTTAAGAAGCCTTCCCAGGCTGGAGCACTGTGGAAGGTCCTGGCACACTGCAGTAGCACTGCAGAAGCCACCAGAGTTCAGCAGTTCATTAGAGCTACCTGAGAAGTCACCAGTGCTGAGCACGGCTCCTGCACAACCACTGCTGGCTGTTCCTGCACAGCTCTCCTCAGTGACTGCATTATTTCCCCCCCATCAGCATTCAAGGTAACAGAACCCTTCCACTGACTCACGTGAGGCATAACATTTCCCATATAAATTATATGCTCATACAAAATGAGCAATCTGGCAGTGAAGATTGAAGTGAGCCATCTGCATTTTCTGGCTAGTCATTATCAAGAATAATTACTCTTCAACAACATCTTACAAATACTCCCCCCAATTTTATTTGAAAAGATGGTAGTTAGCAGGTTATGCAGTACAAACTATTGTACATGAGCTGCTCAATAACTCTTCAGTTGAGGATTCTTCCCTAAGGTACCCCTATCAACCACGAGGCTTATTTACTTCTTTTACTGTCACTTCACAAAGTGCATTGTGGTGACAGTGTCATATCAACAATTAACACGGACAAACAGATGTCTGCCTAGTAATATTTACTACTCTGTATTTTTTCATGCTGGAGTCTAATGGTTCTAACTTAGAATCATAGCAAATAAAATTTTTCACCATAGTTACCAGCTTAGTAAAACTTCAATACCCAAAGTGTTCAGCAGTTTTTATGCACTAGGTGGGAAAATCATTATTCATCTATATGCAAGGTTGAGTCCAAATAAGTAAGAGACCACTATCCTCCCACAAGGGCATTTCCAAGGCAAATTGATTTCATCTCAACCCAGAATACCTTCCTGCTTACAAAGCGCTCAGTCGACTGCTTTCCTAGTTAGGTCCAATAAAATTAAGTCAGTTTTAATACAGTTTTGTCTCAATGTTATTTTCTCTAAGAGAGGCAGGTTACAACAGTACAAGTTTCTTTAGCACGTCAAAGGACATAAAAAAAATCCAACACTTATCTATGGAAAACAAGAAGCAGTCAAATGCAGCATTAACAAAACTGAATGAACTCCTTCCAAAAGCTGGAGAAATGTGACAGGGAGATAGATCTTCATGGTACTGTGGATAGCCAAATGCACCCACAATACTGCTAAAAAGACATCACTGAAATTCACCGAAAGCAAAACCTACTTTGTACAGAGTGTACAAAGAGTTGTACTTCTGAATACAGACTTATGTGTTCACACATGGCATGGCATAAACAGGCAATAAATAACCACAGTATACTGCTATACAGCATGTTTAGTTTTCCAGTTAAACTTAAGGTTAATAGCTATGAAAATGCTTTTTCAAACAGGAGACATGATTTTCCATGTCACAAAAAACATAATTTCCTTTTGGTTGAATAGCTACCAAAAGAAAGAGCTGGTGCAGCAATGCCTTTCCTAAAAGTAATTAAATGCCAAAGTCCAGTCTTTCTTGAAGCTTTCACCACAGAAATTAACAAAGGGAAACTAAGGTTTGCTAATGCACCATAATCTGCTCTCCTGCAAAAACATTCAGAGCTGCAAAATCTGGGATTCTGTAGAAAAACACTTGTATTGATAGAGAAACCTCTCAACTAACTCAGCTAAGAATTATTAAAAATGGGACGAACAGAATGAAGGCAAGTTATTTACTGTTCCTATTCCAGTGATGAGTAGTGGAAAAACAAAGAGGCTAATATGGATACACAGAGTAAAAAACTTAGAGATCCCTCCAGCAGATAGGATTTATTCCTTCAAGACAAGGAAAAAATCAGTATGCCGTGAACAACAACAGGTCTCTCTTCTAACGGGTTCTACAGAAGTTACGTATATGATGTAGACAGTTGTAAAACAAATTTTAAGGTTATGTATTTCCAAAAGAATTACGTTTATTCCGGGCCTTAAGTATAGTCTTGAACATTACATAATTGGCATCATAACCTTTATGTGTTTAGCATTCCTTTCAGCCTTTCACCAAACTCAGCATGAATTACAGTCTACTTCTCTTTCCCACCACATACAACAGAGTAAGGGGCAAGGGGAACACTACTACCAAGGATGGTGGTGACTCATTTTCCTGACCAGCGCAATCCCCTAGAGCCTTTCCTCCTCAAAATGGATGTTGCTGAAACCATTATCACAATCAACAATGCTGTTTCTGTACACAGGTATCACAGCTATCAAACCTGAACTGTCACAATACTCCATGCATGATTCTTACTGACTCTCAAAAACGTAAGAGGGTATGTGGACAGGAATTACGTGACACTAGGGCATTTTAGGTGAATGAACATGCATTTATTCTCATAAATTACTCTTACTAGATTATGCCCGCAATATAATTGTGTGCAGTCAGTAAAATGGAGGATACTAACTAAAAACAACAGCTAAGTTCTTATGGTGTTAAACAAAGGAAAACGATACATTCAGTAAAACAGCTAATCTATAATATTTTGTTAGAGAAATTTCTAAAGTGTTCAAAGAAATGTAATGTACAGGAGAAATTTGTTAGTTAGTTCCACCAAATCTGAAAACTTACCATTTTATCTAGGTGCTCAATGGATCTATAAATTTCTCCTTGGGATTCATCATAGTAACTGTAACGGAACCTCTGACCTTGAAACAAAAATCATGTATAAAATAAAAAAGGGAAAAATTGTAGCTAAAACACTCCCTAGTACTTACTAAATATTTGAAAGTATAATATTTGTAAACTAGTAATCTTCATTTATTTTATACGTTTTAGCTCCACTGAGAAAATTCTAGGGCTATCATCAAGTAGCAGCCCAGAAACAAACAAACAAAAAAAAACCAAAAAACAAGGATGGGCTATATTCCAAAAGAGAAACTTACTACATAGAACTGACACTCCAGTATCACTTATTAATTGCTTGTTATTGGCTTGGAATCCAATTCTCTAAATTAAAAAGTAAAGCAACATTTCGTTTCTCTATCCTTCTTGGCAAAGTCAACCACGGAGTCAGGCTAGTTCTGGTTGCACAACAAGACCCACAGTAAATGAAGGTTAAAACAAAAAATTCATGATAATTCAATGAACAGTTCTAGATGGTTCATTAGCCACAACAGAACCCAGGTAATTCTGATATATACTTCTACCTACTCCACAATTCAAAGATGAGTAAAATATGCACTTAATTATGTAAGTTGACCAAAGATGACAATGAAAAAAAGAAAGAAGGTCTGTTGCGTTTTATGTATCTTTCTAAAGCAGTCCCTTTTCCAGCTACTATCACACTTAAAAGAAAAATAAAGTGTTAAAGCAGGACAGAAGTCAAGGCTTCTGGAGTCTTTTTAGCTCTACCACCAAGGTGAACTGGGATAGCTCTGATGAATTGGCATAAGTAGTCCATCTGCTATCTTACCCAGCAATAAAACATACAAAACTTATTTCCGCCAGAGGAATGTGGCCATGTCCAGTGAATTTTTAGCTACTTAGTTTTGCAAGTTGTTTGAGGTGCTTAAAAGAAGAGTACGAAGAGCAGCAACTTCAATTATTACATTGCAAAAGTGAAGAGATGCATATAAACCCACACACCTTCACCATTTATTTCCTCTACTATACTGAAAACACATTATCACATCCATTTTTTCACCTATCACTCCAGATTTTAAAAAATCCTTTTATAAACTTTACGAAGGTATTTAAGTTTCAAAAATACACGTACAAAAAGTTAAAATGTTCAATGTTTTAAAAATACATTATATGAAAATAACTACAAAATATTCAACATGCCATTATTATGAAGAGATATGAAACTTACCCCAATGGCAAAAGTCAGAAGAAACCACAAAGAGGTTACTAGGATCAGCTAGGTATTTACTGAAGAGTTTTCCAAATTCCTGCTCTTTTGACTCACTCAGTGCTCCGACCAACACAGGAATAATAGTAAACTCATCCTTATGGCTTATAAGCAAAAGAAAAAAGGTTGTAGTTCAAGTAATATCTGAAGATTTTTCAGGCCTTGCTAACTGAAACTGCAGAGTGTTTTAAAAGGTCACTATTGATTTGAAGATAGTAATTTGGTAAGGTCATACTAAGATGTTGTTTTAGAACCTCAAAGTACTTAAAATCCAGAAAACAACACACACCCCCAAACGCAGTATCTAACTTTGCTGCAAAGTGAAAACACCAGGCAAACAAAAAGAAAAGACACTGTGAAATCAACAAAGAAATAAGAATTAGATTTAACCTGTATAGATGCTGTATGTTGGCTTAATTCTCCAAAGTATATGAAACATATATGAAAATGCTCAATGTAGTACCCAGGTGTATACTGATACTCCAGGGAAAATTCAAAATACAATGGAATAAACAATTTAAAAAAAAATAAAAAAAGACGAGGCATGTATGTGTGGGAACAACCCCCAAAACAAACTGACAATTTTTCCCTAATGATGATGACAATTTCTATTTCAAGTACAGATCTGAAACAACAGGTGTAAACAGAACCCTGATTTCAAAATCGGTATTAAAACTCCAAACAAACTTAAAATCCCACAGAAAACACCTATTAGTATTTGAATTTCTTTCAAAGATGCCTTGCAAAATGGGGGCGGGGGGGGCAGGGAACAAAATTGGCTATCGAGAAAGAGTTAATATAGACATGCTTTCATGAACCTATTTTAAGTCAATGTAAACCTGCCTACAAGAGGTGTTATAACTTCATCATTCAGGTGTTTGTTCTGCTCACAGTTTCTATTATAGCAACTTATCCTAGTCTCTGACCCTCTCCTTTCCAAAATTTTTACTGGGGTTTGGGGGAGTGTAAGCATTATATACCATATAAGGTATTCTATGCCATGAAATTCATTATTACTTCCTACTGCACTTAATATGTAGTTCAAACATTTAATGCACATAATGCTCATTCTTGTAGAAGTAAATAGCCTGAGTACCTTTCCATGGCTTTAGCAGTATAAGGCAAATGCATTTCAATACTGTGTTCATCTTCATCTGTCTGTAGGGACATGCGTTCAAACATTCCAGTCTTCCACAATTCTCCATAAACTGAAATGAATTAAAGGTTAATTTTTACTATTTTATGTTTTTGAAAACCACTACAAGTGCAAAAAGCAAGCTACAGTGCATCTCTATAAGAATACGCCCACTAGAACAAATTACTTGCCTCCAAGGGCTGTCATCATAAACCACTGTGTTTCTAAATAAATTCAGGATTAAAATGATATTCAAGTCATTAAGATACAAATGCAATTGATTTAGTTTACAAAATAAGGATGTTACATCAGTGAACTTGTTAGTATATTGAGAAAAATTTTGTATCATAACTGAAAATCCAAGTAATACAAATAAAACATGTTTGAAAAGATATGTGAATTTGCCCAGCCACTGAATTCTTATTTTCATAAAATGCACCATCATATATGTTTAAAAAAAAGAAAAAAATGGATCAGTGAAGCCACTGCTGGATGTGTTATTATTTAACACAATTTATTATTGACTGAATCATGAAATCTAGAGACAGCCAATGCTGATTAAATAATCCACATCTGCAAGTTATCTTTTCTACTCTCAAGTGTACTTAAGAGTATTCAGAGTCATTCCTTCATTTTGAAAATTCTCCACTGCATGAAAAATTTGATATAGGGCTGTGCCTCCTTCTTTACTCCTTTCATAAAGGAGTTCTACAAAACCCAAAACATTTCTTACCTAAGGAAATTTCTGAAGGCACTATGTAGAAAGCCTGAATTATCTTGCTTAATCACAGTTACGATGAAACACAATACATCTGTGCTAATTAGCCCTTCTGAAAAAGATACTGTATTATTTAGGTATACCTCGAAATGCATAAAAGTCAAAATATCAGATTTATCCCCATTGCACCTTTAAGCTTATTTCCAAAGACTGGTATTTCATGGATTAATGATTTTGAAGTTCTACAGGTACTTTGCAAGGTAAAAAGTCACATGCAATAATGCATGTTCCTCTGTTATTCCTCAATCAGAAATCAAACTCAAACCAACTGAAGTACCTTTTTCCAGCCAGAACACTTCACAGAATAATGGGAAAGGTGTATAGTGAACTATTCTTTGATGGTAACATTTTCTAATGTTTAAAACCCTTTTAAAGATCACTTGTCAAGAGGCACACACTCAAAATGGAAAAGAGAAGCAAAAATTGAGAATTCTTCACTTGTCAAGAGCAAGAGAGACATTATGGTTATAATATGACAATGCCTGCAGCAGCCAGGATCTTTCAGAAGTTAGCTCTGGTTGCAGTAAAACCCGATTTGCACTTGTGTGCCACTTAAAGCCAGAAATGCCCAACAACAAGAAAGTCCTCAGCGCTGCAGTACCACAGTTAATATTCAAGCCTCAGCAGTCTTCAAGATGAAAGCTTTATCATGCACTTACTCTTTTGGTCAATTCGGAGATCATACAGAGGTGTCCTGTAAATGTCCACACTGGAAAGTGCACATCGGGAGAGGGGCACGTGATGGGAAGGCCCAAGAATGAAAATTTTTCGGCTACAACAATTAACACAAAAGCCCACAGTTTAGATAAACACAATTGTAGAGAGACATGGCTTAGAGCAGCAAGTTTATTAAAAACATACAAAGCAATACTTTCTCACGGCTACAACTGTTTTACTCCGCTGTCTGTAAGACCACAGATCAATCCATGGCTCAACCTTGCTCAGTATCTTAGAAATTATCATGAGATCAGTTCAACAATGCTTCCTGTAGCCTTAAATCTCTTAAGCAGGTTATATATCAGAGGGCACTCAACAGCTAGAAATCAGTATCTAACTGGACTCATTTGGAGGCTGAATGATGTGGTACAGCCCCTCAGAACAGATTTTTGAGTTCTCTCCTTGGATCAACAGAACCTTCAGCTACACACCACTACACAACACCTTCAACAACTATAGGAACGTGACCTCAAACAATAGTTATGGGTTTATCATCTATTCAGAGCTTTTCACTTATTTAGTTGATTAGCCTTACTTCAGATTACACCAAATTAAAGTAATTCTCAAATGCCGTTTTTATCTATCTGTTGCATTAACAACAGGGACTTGGACCTGCACATTCATAGCTTTAGCTGATACTGTAACCTTTCACACGTCATCATGATGTTATTTCATCAAGTCCTCAGTTCCTGGCTCTTGATTAGATGCTTAGGGTCTCCTGCCACAGGACTTACAAGAAAAAAAGAAACAAAAAATATAGGAAATTCAGCTTTTCTGATTCAGGATCATATAATCTTTTTTCTGGCACTGAACTAAAGGGGTGGGAGACATGTAAAGTTGTGAGGTTGTTTTATCCCTGTACACACGGAGTGCTGTTAGCAAGGTATACTAAAATACTATAACTTTCTGCAAAGCTAATAAAAACAAAATATCCAAACATGCCATAATTCAGCTCAAAGATGAATTCTAAACATCCCATGTGGTAAAACAGCAAATGATCCATACAGTTCAATTGACTCCATGTCACTGAAATTGGGGAATGCAACTTGTTCAGGAAATCTTAGAGGAACTGGGTTTCTCTAAAACTTATGTCCCACTATAAATTATTTTCAAATAGTTTACAATAGTTTAGAAAGAATTAAACCCATTGGCTTTGGAGACTATTACAACATGTTATCTCAAGAAAAACTGATAAACTTAGCCAGTTTTTATTTAGCATTGCAAAATACATACTTTGAGTAAATACTGGAGATGCATTAAATTTTTGCCATTTAAAATAAAAGTTGCAGTAAGCAGAACATAACAAGAATTATCTTCCTTTGACCAAAAATAACTGGATTCATCTTTTCAGAGGCAAGCACAGACTACAGTAGCATGCTGGGGTTTTTTTAAATTTTTCTTATTTTAAACTTGTTAGAAACAAAAGTCCATCTAAAATTATTGGAATGAGTAATTGTAACTGACTTAAAATATTATATAAACACACTGATCACTTTCTCCACAGCAGAAGAGAATGCTGGTAGTATTCAGCCCATAATCCTGCACTGAAAAGCCAATGCAGAATCATGGTCAAATATTTTAATAGGCTTAGAAAACAACCAAAACCTCCCAACAACAACCGAAAAAAACCAAATCAAACCTGTAACTCCAGAAAACCCCCTCAAAAAACACCTTAGGCTTTTATTACTGACATTCCACTGCTTTTATAAACTGTTATTACCTGCAAAAAGAACATCTTTAAGCCCTCCCTTGTTATAGTTACCAATAATTTCAACAGATTTTTGAAAATACTGCTTTACACTTTCTATTTCAATAATACATTTTTTTATTCCGTAACATCCAATTTGAACATTTATGATGTTAAAACTGAAGGGACCCATAAAAGTCTAAAAAGAATACAAAATTAAAACCCGAGTACTTCAAGGTGTAAGAATGTAAAAAGAACATTCAGGGAATTACAATGGCATTGTCTCATGCTTTGTAGAGAAAAACTCATACTTACGTGATATTGGGATCCACTTGTTTGTAAGCATGGGCTGCACAAGATCCACAATAGGTGTATCCTGCATGGCTGCAAACCAAGGTGTTCAAAATGTTAACAACGTTAAATATTGCTTAACATCTTAAATATGTTGATATTGCTATTGAATATTAATATCTTAAATATTTTGTCCCCAGTGAGCTGGAAATAGTAAGAATGATCTAAAAGCCAACTCCAGAAAGAGCAGGAGAGCACTGCTGCAGTGTTCACACAAGCCATGTATTTGTTGAAGAACTATCAGTGACTGTTTACCGACCCATTAAAGAACCATCAATTGTAATAGAAGGGTTAACTTTGTTCATAAAATCTTATGTGTATGAAAGAATAAGAAACTTTTGTTATAATTAAACAAGGTAAGTTTCACAGACATCCTGTTAAACAAACAAGTGTCAGCATCGATAAAATTTACAGTTGATAAGAACTGCAACTTTCATCTCTGACAAATACCAGATGACCACTTAGCAACGAGCCATGAACTCAAGCCACGACGCAGGCGCATTCAAAACCCGGGACTTGAAAATGTATAAAAGGGACATTTACTAGATTTCAGTGTGTGTCTCGGGCGGGGCACTTGCCCCTCAGGCCACCAGTGCTGTCTTTGCTTTATTATCGCTTGCTTAATAAATTTATCAATGTTTAATTGGAATTGAGTTGTCTAAATTCTTATACTAACTTATAACATCAATGACCATTTGACAGTAAACAAACATCCAAAACAAAGCCCCTTCCATTACTCTTAGAAGACACTGGTGTGCAGACTGCACAACTGCACAGTATCAGAAGTTCACCATAACGCTAAGTGTGCAGCCAGGGGACAAGGGAATAGCAAACTGCTGGAGAAGGCTCTTCCAAACACATGGCAGTAACTGAATACTATAACAGTGGCGGAGTCTGGCAAGGAGAGAACTCTATGTTACAGCAGATAAACCAGAGAAGATAAATGCTGTGTCATAGAAGAATACCTGAGCAAGAGAATGAATGGGCACACAGACAGAAGTGGATTGCAGCATGCTAGTTTTTACGGCAAACATGATACATGATTCGTCATTTCTCATCACTCTGGCCTGGGGCCTTTCTTGACCTCTGTTTCTGTTTGCTCTCCAAAATAATTTTTAATTATTCTGACTACTTTTTTTAAATATCACATTCAAATCTTAAGACCCATTTCCTTAAAAACTGCCAGAAACCAGTGAAAATTCACTTTACACTGCTAAAAACATTAATTCCAGAGAACATTCATTCCCAAAATTCAAGGTCAAGTGGTGCAAAACAGCTCAGTCACTCAGTAGCATGCCCATGCCACATCACCCCCTCGAGCTCATCGGGAGCACCTGCAACCCCAGGTGAATAGTTACTGCTTATTTTGAGTCGAGTATGTGCAACAACACAACTACAGCTTTCCCAAAAGTCTTTTGACACAATGATACATAATGCAAGTTCTGGAACATACAGGATGTTTGAAGATACAAGTTCCCTGTTCATAGCACCGGAGGATTTTATATGTATGTATGCTCATACATACATATAAAATCTGTATTCATCCACAGAGTGATTCATGAAGCAAGTGTTATCCTCAAAATTACCCTGGGATTTTACTTCAATATGACTTACTCCACTCACTCTAAAGAGCTCAGAAGTAGCAAGGTATGTTACTTGACAATGTCAAAAGAGCCTGCTGAAAGGTTCCATCTGCTACAAGCTTCTTCAGTCTTCCACAGAAATATTATCAGACATATCCCAATTTACTGGTGGGGCCAAAAAAAAAAAAAAAAAAAGGCATGGCTAATGAAAAAATTGGGGCGAGATCACAGGATCTAGCAATTCTGGAAAGACATCCCAGCTTACATAATCTGCAGCTGAAAAGTCTCTTTCCCGACATTCCTGCAAGAAAGACTAAGGCAGATGTGGGACAATTTCTTCTGGAAATTCAATACTATTATGGAATACTTCAAACATTATGTCAATGCTATGTTACCACAGGAAAAGCATCATATTTAAGGTGCTTTTTCTAGTGTTTCCTTCCAACTCATAATTAATTGGAATGACCAACATACTTTTCTCATTACATGTCTCAACTATCTTCAGGAAACTGAATTCTCTCTAAGTAGTTCAGACTGTCCCTATTTCAGCTGTGGACAAAAAAAACAAAACCAAAAACACACAACCCAAACAAAACCAAACTAAAATAACAAACCATTTTGGATAGCTGAATGTTTCATTACTTTTTGTTTTAAGCTTTGCTAAGTTTTAATTTGGGGGCAAGAGGGGTGGAAAAGTTTTGCTTATTTTGTTGTGGGTTTGGTTTTTTTTTTCCTAGTAGGTGTAGCTGTCCTACAATAGAAGTGCATTGAAAGGGCTGTCACCTTTTAATAGCACTCCAGCAATACACCTCTTACCCATCTTACTGGATCATGAATAGTGTCTGCAGTCCATCAGGAAAAGGAAATTAATCATACACCAAAATGTGCACATATTTCTTCCATTCTATGGCATATTCAAAATGCTTATTTAGAAACCACACAGCATTCCTTTCCACTAAATACTATGTCTTACCAGTTTTCAAAATCACTCAAAACATATGAATTTAAGAAAAAGCATTTAACCAAACAAGTGTTAATATATATTCTAAAAACAGATTTCACACTTACGGTGCAATAATGGCTCTTGCAGGTCTTTTTGTGGACTGTACTTGAGAAAGCCACCCTTCTAGTTGTGCATTCAGCTGGGGTCCTGTGAAGAGACACGGAAATACTGAAGCCACAGAAAAATCTAATATATCTCAAGAATTAACAAATAAAGTTCAAAAGTCCAGCAGATTTAAAAGTAATTTTAAACATTAAAGGCACGTTTAAACGTAAAACTAAACAGAAAAACCAGCACCCAAAAAATCCCAATGCAACAACAAAAAAATCCCAATCCTGCAATGTTGGAGGTTATGGTAGTAAAGTTTCAATCTCCTGTCCTAGGAAGTTCATTTACTGCACATTCAAACACACACTTACTGTTTCTTGCTCTGTGGGGACTAATGAACACATCCTTTCACCACTAAGAAAGGATGGCTACTGATTTCAAGAGAGGTGGTAACAGATGATTGATTACTCTGATAACCGTATTTGCAGAATTCAGAAGCAAAAATTTAAGATGATCTGCACCAAGAGAGCCCAGTATGGGAAGACAGAATACAAAGGCCTTACATATTGCTGAGACAGTCAATGGTTACGGTAATAAATCCTTTACTATTATGAAGCAAGTGTAAGAGCAGAATACAAAACACATGGTAACCTGGAAAATCTGAAAAATACACAGGAAAAAGCTAAAAGTGAGAAGACACCATGCTTATACTAGTGCCTTGACTGCTTCTGATCAATCAATATATACTACAAGTACATGAACACCTCGGTAACATGAATTTTGATAACTGGTCAATCCAGTATTTAAATTTTTTTAAAACTAAATTTAAAATACCTCAAGAAGTGTCAAATATTCTCAATTCAATCATGACAGGTGATAAAAATGCCTTCTAGAGATACAACAAAAAAAACCCCAAACAAACCACATTTTGATTATTTCCCACCACAAGAAAACTTTCTGATGTAAAGCTTGTCCTGGAGAGGCAAGCCTTGCAAACACAGTTCAACATTTGTTACATTAAAGAATGTAAAACAAGCTTTCAAATAAAACTCATTCAGCTGCTATTGTTAGAAGCAACACACCATTAACAAACAGAAAATAGATGTGCTTTTTTCAGCAGACACTATGCTTTTGACAGAACTACATGTCAGCAGAGTTTATCTATGAAGTTTGGTGCAGTAAGACACTTTTCTTCTTCCATGCACATGGTCGATTTTTCTATCTTCCCCATGCAGGGGAACTATCAGCTGCCAGTTAAAGTCAAAAACAAATTAAGTATCCAAAACCGTTTCACAGATATGTTCCAAACAGTCCCAATCTCAAGCCGACAGCTCTCCAAAAGGTTGACAAGAACGACAGAGAGCCAGAGCAAAGATGTCAACTTTTGCAGAATCCAATCAGTCACTGACCAGGCATTGGCAAAAAGCTTTCCCTAGAAGACCTATGGGTGAAGGGTGGGGGTGTCAAAGCCACTGGTTTTTATACAAAACTTAAATCCATGTGCTTCCTGAAAAAGAACAACTTCTGTAGTTGTGAAGAGTTCAACACCATTTCCCTAAGCTTTCAATCATAACTTGAATGCCTTAGTTACTGTCTAGAGCTCTAACAAGACAAAAGAGTGAGACTAATTAGCCATGCCTCACTCCAGTAACACAGTGATTTTGTGAAATGATGAAACTGTTATCAAAAAACACCACACACCGATTTTGTTCTGCTGCTTCTGTTGCTTGGGGAAATTACAAGCAGAGACATACTGTAGAGATAAGGATAATGACATCTTAGAAGATGGAGGCTGTTGTGAAAGCTAAGTAAAAATAAAAAGATCTCTCTATTTCCATCCTCTTTTTAAGCTACTAGGAGACTAACAAAACAGTACTCTTCTACAGTATTACTGCTTTTATGTTATATACTTGAGTGAAGACACAAATCACCTAAAAAATTTTACTTCCTCAATCTCCTGAAGTATGTAGAAGGGTAAGATTCTTTCTGAATGAAACTCTTTAGAAGGACACAGCTGGTTTTGTTTTGAGGGTTTTTTTCTTTAAACACTTACTACTCACACTTAAACAAAACATTACTCTGCCCCACCTGACCCATCCTCCTCAAAGAAGAGGATCCACAGGCAGCACAACAGCAGAAGGGCCAAAACTTGTCAGGCAAAAGGTGACTCTCTTCCCCAACAGGGCACTGTGCTTGGCCTTCCTCCATCCCTTCTTTAGCAAGGATTTTTGATTAAGGAGGTGGTTAAGGTGATTTGTCTTTTGTTGAGACAAATCAGGTAACCTGCTAAACAGTTTAAAGACAAGGGTCAGAATCTCTGGTAATATCCTCAAGTTTCATGATTGGTCAAATCTGCCCAAACCTTCTGATCTTACAGTGTAGTAGTGGAGTAAGATGCGCAAGTTTGCTCAGACTGCTGTTACAGGCACACACTCTAACAGTGTAACATTTTCTTCTTAGAGGCAGTAAAATAACAGCTCTGTATGACTCACAGGATGAAACTTCTGCTTAAGGACCAAGTAACACATCTGCACTCAGAATTTTTCCTTTTAATGCAACTACAAGGTGTCTGTTGAAATAATTAACGTCAACCTAATGTAAACTTTCAACTTACACTTATCCGCACTATTTTAACAAAATACATAATCAAATCTCTCAGAGAAAGAATGAAGAGTACAAATATCCACCTGCCCTTTTAGCTAAAGGGAGGGGGGGGGAGGGGAAGAAAAAAGAAAAAAATCAAACAGCACCCACATGAACTGTCAGGAGTATAGCCTCCCTGCAGATTCCTATGCTTACAAATACTTTAAGGGGAATACTCTAGAACTGTAGTTTTCTTGTTACTAAATTAGCATCAACTTTTTCTTGAAGTGCTCAGAGAAGTTTTTCTTCCAATTTCTCAAACACAAGGATGCTTAAGGCTAAAGTCAAAATATTTGAATTGGATATACAAGATAAAAATAAACCCACACTATCACAGTAGCTATGCTCTGCCATACAGAATTGGAGATGAGTAGCTTCTTCGCAAAGCACTCTATAAGCAAGTTTTTGTCATATTTAAATGAAGTTAAACTGCAAAAACAGTCTTTGCACATAATCATCATGACAACTGTAGCTGACCAGCTTGAACAATGAATGGTGCTGCCACCCATGTATCCTCTTGCTGTGGTGGTGGGAAGTAGAAGAGGTCCCACCTCCTTAAGCCTTATGTAGAAGGCCCAGCTTGAGAAAGATGGCAGGAGAGCAACAGGGGGCTTAAGAGTAACCCAGACAGAAGGACAGAAAACCTTAATTTCTGGATGCAATTTCTGGATGCAACAATCGATACACTTTAGCATTAATACCGTAAGATCAGACCTTTTATTGACAACAGGAAGATCAGGCAGCAAAATATGAGCTTTGCTGAAGTACATAGCATTAAGATCTGCATTTCAATCCTATGAAGGCAGGTATAAATATAGGCATGTAACTAAAGATTTCTGACACTATCTGTGGATATTTCACATCCTGTTTTACTCTGAAAACCAGCAGAAGTGATGCCAAATTTTACAATAATTGCAAGCACATACCAAGTCTCCACTAGGCAAAGATACAGACACAGCTACCGGCAGCATTTATTCAAGTATCTTGCCTAAAAGGATAAACTACTTTTATAATCAGCGTTATCCCATCACAAAGCTCTAGAGTAAGAAAGAATCCTTCCACGTTAAACGCGTGCCACTGTTACCCAGCGAATAATAACACCAAGACATGCAGTAGTGACATGGTTACGTACATCACCAATTTACAGCTGTCATGGTCCAGGCTTTGTGGGTTAAGCCAAACCAGCACATTCTTTCCACAGCCAACCTCACCTTGTCAATGAGACTGAAGTCCTTGTATGTCAAGTGCCAAGACAATATAATGGGAATTCGCTCCTTTTCCAGCAGCCACCATTACTTTTACAAAACATGCAGTTTTAAGATTGGTAGGAAAGATTCAGTGTTTATTCTGAATCCTCAGTCTCAGTGAACACTTTTCTTACTGGAAGAGGAGAAGCATGAACTGAAATTCAGAGAAACACCAAGGAAAATTGCTCAGGTCTCCCTTGGCTGCACATGTACAGCACTTGCAGCAACCCAAGTAATGCTGGAGCACAATGACAGTAATGCTGCAGTCCCCAAGCCTTCACAGTTCTACTTGACAGCTTTTACATGTCTCCTACCCTACAGGAGCAAACACCTTCTGCTGAGTATTCCTCAGCAAAATCTTTTAACTACCTTTACCCATTGATGAGAAAGTCTACACCTCACAAATGCTTCTAATAAATATAACAGCATACGTGCTAAGAAGTAAGTCTTTATTCTTGTAGAGTGTTAGAAAAATCAAAGTAACGGTGAAACTCTGGGGGCTGGTATGCAATTAGTTTAATAACTGGAACCAAGGGAACTCTTCTCTCACAATTTTAAATGGGAATCCAAAATTCAGTTGTTAGGCAAAATCCAATATGAAATATCATAGAGGACTAACTCGTTTCTCAGCTAAAAATGTAGAAAGTATAAGGATTTTTTCAAGAACACAAACTTCACTTGCAAAAAAAAAAAAATCTTTTTCTTAACACAACAAAAGCCAAATCCTTGAATAAAAATCATGTTTTAGCTATGCAAAGACTAGAATTTGTCAGGAATAGAATGTGATTTCCAACAACTCATGCTGACGGGCACATTCTCTATTGCTAGCATACACTCTCTTCCAGTACTGATAAAATTAGAAATCAGATTATAAGCAAGTCAAAAATTTAGCTATGTAAACTAGGACCAGGAAAAAAAAATTAATGTACAAATAGAGATTACACTGATGCTACATAAATTCCTATTTATACACATTGTCAGATGGAAATAAGAGCACCAGGTAATGCTTAAATGGGGGAAAAAAAACTCTGAAGCTACAACGAAGACATTAAAACAGAAAACAAAATCTGCTTTGGTGGCAGTTCTTACTTGCATGTCCCAGTTTTGCAATATTCCACTAACTCTTGAATTTCCTTTACTGAAAGTTAGTAGGAAATTAAAAGATCAAACTATAACATCACTCATTAAGAATATCAACCAACATGCACC